ATGATGTGTCAGAATTCCCAGCTAGTTTCCATAATTTGAGCTTTTTAATTTACACTGTAAAAAGATAAACGGAAAAGCCAAGTAGCAAAGCTATAATTACTTCAAGTACATGCAGATCTCTTGTGCCTTCAAAAGCAAGAGAACATCTGAGCACATCTGAAAAGGATGTAAGGCCTCAAAGTAGTTGATGATTAGAACGTGAGGAAAGAAGGGCTGCAACAAGGGCTTAAGCCACCATGGGGCTGCAGTGAAAGAGGGATTTCTGCAGGTAAAAGTGGAACTTTGCCAGATTTCCCCAATCTTGATCTGATTTCCCATTGTATGTTTTACATCTCATTTCAGAGTGCTTGGGCGGACAGAGAAAGAACTTTGAAGAGATCAGAAAAGGTAGTACATTACCAAGTGCCAGTTTCTTCCTTGGCATACACCAAAGCTAATACAAACTAGAAGCTTTCTTTCAGCATTGCTGCCAGAATTAACTGTTCCTCTCACCATAGATTTATTTAGAAAATGCAGAAAACTGGGAGGATTACAAAATTAATTTGTAACTTTTTGTCTCTGTGTTTGTAAATATAATTGTTAATGTGGAAGATGTCATAGGTTTGTGCTCAAAATGTGCCTCTCTTTCATGATGTGCTTGTAACGTTTGCCTGGTAAAAACTTTCCACTGGTGTAAAAGGGTACAAAACAATCTCCTTTTCCAGCCTCCCAGCTCTAGTCCTGCTCCAGTCTACCTGGAGGAAGGCCCCAAGTTCTGCAATCTCCCTGTGTTGAAGCAGAACAGCTTTTTCAAGGCCGTTCATCCAAAATGTAAGCTGATCTGCTCAGAGAATTAGTAACTCCTCAGAATCCCAGAACCATCCAGTTTTACCTGATTTGTCATGTGCCACTCCTATGGCAGGATTGCTGCCTGGCACGACAGCTAGGTCTTGCTCCTTCTTGCGTGCTTTTATGACATTCAGCTGCTGATCTTCTGCTGAGACATGAACTGTTCAGCTTCCCAGGGGTAGCAGAGAGGTTCCAATGCCAGTCATATTGTTCATGATCCTAGCAGAGGTTCAATGGCAGGTGAGTTTTCGAGGAGGCAGTGTTCTGAGCCAGCAGTGTGCCCTTGCAACTTGGAAAGCAACTCGTATCCTGGGCTCCATCAGAAGAGGGGTGGCCAGCAGGGACAGGGAGGTGACTGAACCTCTCTGCTCTTGTGAGGCCCCACCTGCAGTACTGCGTCCAGGCATGGAGCCCCCAGTACAAGAAAGACAGAGATGTTGGAGAGGGTCCAGAGGAGGGCCAAGAAGATGATCAGGGGGCTGGAGCACCTCCCTTACAAAGACAGGCTGAGGGAGCTGGGCTTGTTCAGCCTGGAGAAAAGAAGGCTGTGGGGTGACCTCATTGCAGCCTTCAGTACCTAAAGGGAGCCTACAAACAGGAGGGGAGTCAACTCTTTGAAAGGGGAGATGACAGCAGGACAAGGGGAAATGGTTTGAAGTTGAGGGAGGGGAGATTGAGGTTGGATGTCAGGGGGAAGTTCTGTACTATGAGAGTGGTGAGGTGCTGGAACAGCTGCCCAGAGAGGCTGTGGATGCCCCGTCCATCCCTGGAGGTGTTCAAGGCCAGGTTGGATGGGGCCCTGGGCAGCCTGGGCTGCTATGAAATGTGGAGGTTGGAGATTCATGATCCTTGAGGTCCCTTCCAACCCTGGCCATTCTGTGATTCTGTATTTCTTGCATAGAAGGCTATGTTCCCGTGTTTGGAAAAGGAGGCACCCAAATTTTGTCTGTTTGAAGCGATCAGTGCTTGATGAATTGACCAGGCTGATTCTTAGTTTCTAGGTTTTGCAAACATGGCAGGGTATAATTGTCTCTACACAGAGTGCCCTGTCAGAATGTGAAATAACTACATAGAGAATGGCCCTACCTCCTGCTCAGAGTCTTGTGGTGCGAGGAACAAGGGATTGTTGCATCTCTCTGCCAAGAGCATTGGAAGGACAGGTGGGATCTGGGCCTGCAAGGCAGAGAGGGTGTGTGTCTCCCCCAGGGACAAGAGCAAACACACTCAATTTCTGCATGCAGGGCTCTGGAGAAGAGTCTTCTCCTCATACACTGGTGTTTTTAGGAAGAAATATAAATACCCCATGAGATAACTTTCTGTGGTGAGCGTTGGCAGCACAAGACTTCATGCAAAGCAATGAAAAAGTGCAAAGATCTCTTCTAGTTTTGCAAGAGCTTGAACCAAAATAATTCTGAAATCAGGAAGGTGTTGACATGTCTGTCAGAGGTCTCAGGGTTTCCACTGCCCCCAGCAAACTGACTTTCATTTCTAATGTGTGTGACTACAGACGTAGGTAGGGAGAGATGAAGGCCATTAAGACTAGATGAGTTAATTAAGATGAAGTCATTAAGACTAGATGAGTTAATACTAAGATAATAAGTATTAAAAAGGAAGAAAATGATTACACTTTCCAGTGTGTTGTTTCCTCTGTTTGCCCAACCTAAATTAAGCATGCTTTACAAGGGACTATCCAAAGTTGAAGGCAGGACCAAAAGAAAGCTTGATAGTTCAGGCTGCTTCAACATAGGCAGCTCACCAGGGTGGAGGGAGAAGAGGGTTGCAGAAGGCTGAAATTTCTCTTTCAGTGATGAATTTTAGTATCAAACTATGCAGTAATGCTTCCTCAGGCAGAGTGCAGTAAGATTCTATCTGAAAATCAGGTGTGGGGATGTGGACAGGGATTTTAGTGCACTGTGAAGCTTACGATGCCTTTGAATGGCTCATTGGGAAGCACAGTCTGTTTCTCCAGAGAACCCCCTGGCTGTGAAAACCACGGGGACTGGCCAGATCAGCATCACAAGGTTCCTCCTCAGCAGAGGTGGCACAATCTGTGGGTTTGGCTGTGTACCACTGCACTGTGTTGGTTGCAGCAGTTGGAGAGCTGATCTGCAGCTTACACAGTATAGTTCTGTGCTGGGTTTGGGGCTCATCCAGCCTGACTGATGTTGAAGAAGGTCCGGCCTCCCAGGAACTGGGGGCTGATTGAATGTTTTTGTTTTGTTTTCCTTATGTAGGACTGCTTGACAGCACTGCATATTTTTGCATGGAAATGATGCCAAATGCTTTTCTTCTTTGCAGAGAGATCGAGAATTCCTGAAGTCTGTGTTCATCCTGGCGTACCACGACTCAGCCTTCCCCCTCCTCAGGTCCACTTTGCTCCCCAGCTACAAGTGGGCAGATGAGGAGTCTGAAGCATCTCGCTGGAGAGTGATTGCTGACTTTCTGAGAAAGAGCCGAGACAACGGTGGTGCCCTTCAGTCTCTGCTGTCCTCAGAAAACACTCACACAGCCTTTGACATCTCTGAGGTGGCCTACGATTTCTTAGGAGAAACGAGGAAAAACAATCCCACAGTATGAATGGATCGGAGGGTAACAGTACAGATGAACTTTTACCAAAGAGAAATTATGTGTACTATCTGTACTGCAAGAAACATTTTCACACATTAAAAATAACATTTTTGAGGCAGACGGGCATTGTTTCATTGGTTCAACTAAAATAAATTATATTACCTTTTCCTCTCTCAGCCAAAGCTACGGCAGTCTGTTGCTACGTGAACCTCTTGTAGCCACAGTTGTTCCGTGCTGAAGCAGAGCAAATGCTGTGGCAGCACTTCCCTCACACAGCTTTCAGTTAAATTCCAATTTTGTTTTGACCAGGCTGAACAACAGACTGTTTCAGCACCCAAGTGGACTGGTAGCAGGCAAGGAAAACAGCCACGATCTTTAAGAATGCTGTGGAACAAGGTCAGGAAAAAAAGTAATCTCTTGTCCAATCAGCAGGTTGCTCCTTATTTAGACTGTTTTACTGTTTTCCGTTCTCACTCAGGAAAAGGTTGAGTTATTCACAGGAATGTGTGCCTGACCCCACCCAGCACAAATCCATGGTGGTGAGAATTCAGGGAACGCTGCCATTCCCCTCTGCACGGCTGGGCCGTGGGTTAGCTCGCTTTGTGCTGGCTTCTGAGTGCAGGCTGATGAGTTGTGGGGTATTTCTCATATGGACCAGGACGTTAAGGGCTGCTTTTCCCTGAGCACTGTGTAACCACAGGTCCTGTGTGCTACGCAGTCCTGGTAGGAAGTTACTCATCTGTTTTCTCTTTTGTGCTGGAGTATCCGGATGTCTGCACACTTTGTCCACGGTGATGGGCGCATTGCCACAGTGAGCATTTACCAAGTCACACATGAATTTACATCCAAACTGATCAGAAATATTTTAAAATAAGGTCTTGCAATGATCGCAGCGCTGTAGAGCCCAGGGCCAGTCCTCACTGTCAGCACTTGTAAACTGGAGCCTTTGGAAGTCCTACAAAGCACATTCCCCTGGCCTAGGACAGGTTCAAATGATGATCCTCATCATGCATTTGATTCTATTCTGCATTGCTCAGGAGCCTGGAAGCCAAATTCCGAGGGCTAAATTTGGCCCTTCTATCAGATACATATGATATAGCAGTAGGACATCATCCTCCTCTTGCTGCAGAGGATTGTCCAAGGTGGTGGACTCTTTCTGTCTACTCTGTGACATAGGCCAGAGATACCACCTTCAGGTTTTTATTCCTTTGGTTATTTCCTACACTTCTTGAGCGGGCAAGGCAGAACAAATAGTGCCTTCATTGAATCCAAAGCACAGCTACAAGGAGCTGGAAATGAAAGCTCTTAGTGGAAGTTCTGAGCAAACAAACTCTCCCATCTTTCACCAGTGCGTTGAGCTGCCTGTAGGAAATGTTTGTCAAGGCCGTGGCAGGCTGTAAGCGTTCAAGGGCTGGATACGTCCATTGGGTGTGGGGGATTCTTGTGAACAACGAGCAGAAACCTGAGCAGAAAGGGGAGGAGGCAAAGAAAGTGGAAATGAAAATACTTCACACTTGAGTGAGTGCCAAGGACAAAACCGGACTGTAGGAAACATTTCTGTGCTAGTATGGCGTGGATTCTTTGTCGTTCCTCGTTCAATTGACCGTGTGCTGCTGCCAGTGGCAGTGCTGGCAGGTGCGGGAGCCCATCCCATCCCCGTGTCGACATCGGGGTGTATTAGGAGCTAAGTGGAGGGTTAGTGAGGACTCCTTAGACTGGAGGAAGCGGCGTGGTGCCAGTCTGGGCTGGTCTCTGCGATTACGTCCCTGCGGGTGTGTCAGCTAAAAGCCCGCAGGGAGTGGTGCAGCACTGACACATGCGAGCCTAGCGGAGCCCGAGCGGCCACGGCGTCAGCTGAGGAGCGATGGCATCGGCATCTCCCACTGCAGCCACCTCGCAGTCCACCCTGCCCTCCGGACCGGTCGTCTTCAAAACCATCCCCTACGCCTTCATCCTGCCGGAGATAGTGAGTACCCTCAGCTTTGCTGAGCTCTGCCACCTGGGTAGCGACTCTAGGGAACGCTGGGGTTAACAATTTGGAGTAGCCCTTGAAGCATCCTGCAAGTAGCCTGAATGAAAAGAACCTTCTTTTCTTTTGGTTTATTCTGAACACATAGAGGTAATTTTATTGGCTAAGTTGTTCTCGGCGCACCCCGAGGACCAGCTGAGCTGCAGCACCAGCACAGAGCCTGCACAGGGGGCTGCCAGCTAGCTAAGAGAGGCTGAAGAGTGTTGTGTGCCTGGGGAGCAGCAGCAGCTCTACTTAGCAAACAGAAATTGAGAATAGCTTATAATTAAAGGCATTTTGTTCTTTGGATTAAGTCTTTGTGAGGTCTCGAGGGCTATAGGCAAGCGGGCTTCTTGTACTGCATAAAATTCCATGCATTTTCACATTGTGACCGAGTCCAGAGGGCATCCAGCCTGACTGGCTGTAGTAGCTGCAGCTGAACTTTGACACAGGGCCCAGCAGCTCATTGCCACGATGTGGTACCAGCAGCACACACCATCCACACCTCGTAGGTGCTGTCAGCATAAACCAAGGAGGCTGTCCAACACAGCTGGCGAGAGCTTATCGAAGCAGCCCTATGTGCTATATTCTGCTCAGTAATTACTTGAGGTGGAAATGGAGCAAGCGACTCATTCTGGGCTGCTGTGTGAAGTCAGGAGACGACTTCCTTGTGCTGTGATTTCAGGCCCAGGAGATTAATATGCAGGCAGGGCTGGGCTGACATCAGTGGTTCACGTTTCCGAGATAAAAGTGTGCTTCTGGCTTCTTGCCGAAGCCCTCAGGGTGAGGCTTTTCCTTCTGTCAAACAAAGCAGCCATGACTTCCTTTTTGTAAGGAACATTGGGAGGTATTTCCCAAGAGCATTCACAGCAACTTGCGCCAGCTTGCGATGCTGCTGCTGGTCCAAGGATGCCCTGCATGGAGGCTGTACTGCACTGCCCAAAGGTGAAGGCTGATCTGAGAAGGAGGTATGCAAGGATGCAGGGAGAAGAAAGGGATTTCCCCATCCTATGTTCACTAGAAGTGCCTGTGTTTGCTGTCAACAGATCTGCGGGGCCTGGGTTTGGATCCTCGTTGCTGCTACCTCAGTCTCCTTCCCACTGCTGCAGGGATGGGTTATGTACGTGTCCCTCACCTCCTTCCTCATCTCCCTGTTGCTCCTCATAAGTTACCTCTTCGGCTTTCACAAAAACAGCAACAACTGGAAAGTGCTGGTAAGGATGAAATGGGCAGAGGTGGGTGGTAGCAGCAGCTGGAGATGTGTTGGCCAGCCCGTCTGCAAATAAGTGTCCCTTTCTTCACTGGGAAGACAGTGAAGCATTTCCTGGAAATGCCTGGGGGAGGTTCTGCTATTCCACTGCGTGGCACTTTATCGCATTCAGCCCCATTTGGAGCACAGAACAAAGGAGAAAAGCTCAGGATGCGACAGAAGCTGTTCCCATCTCCATCCCCACCAACCTGTGAGCTTGTGGCAGGGCTCTGTTCTTTTCCAGCTGGAGATGGGTTCCCTTGGGTGGACGCAGGAGGGCTGAGCACGCTGTGAAGCAGCCAGGCAGTGCTTGGTTCCAGCCCCCATCTGGGTGTGTGTCCTATCTGTACGCTCACGCACAGAGGCTGGACAGTAGCACCTTGCCCCAAGGGTGAATGGCAGAAAGGAAGGCAGAGCAATTTTTGATCCATGACACTCCGTTGTTTTGCAGGATAGTTTGTACCACGGTGCCACAGCCATTCTGTACATGAGCGCTGCTGTCTTGCAAGCCAACGCGACAATCAACTCCGAGTTCAGCTTCAGCTCACCACGCTACTACCAGCTCAACTGTGCGGCATCGGTGAGTCAGTCCAGAAGCACACCAGCAGCTTCTCCCGGGGAGAGCAGAAGCAAACTTGACTTCCAAGGCAGGGACACTCCAACCCAAGCCTGTATCACCCAGCAGCCTCAGCTGCTTTTGTCCATCACACTGTGCAGCCAGCATAAGGGGCTTCTTGGGGCTCAGCAGCTCAGGGACATCCTGAGCAATGTGGGGGCTTTGCTTCTTCTGTGAGGCTGGAGGGAGCTCTTGGCCGAGTGGTTTCCCCAGACAGAGAATACTGTGAGACAGCGGAGTTGTAACCCTGTGGGGACTCTGCTGACTCCAGCTTTTGCTCCTCCTCTCCTGCAGTTCTTCGCCTTCATCACGACCTTCCTGTATATCCTTCATGCCTTCAGCAACTACTACCAGTGAGCCTGGTGGAGATGGCACCAGCTTCACATCTTCAGGATGAGGGCGTTCCTAGAGCAAAGGCAGCAGTGGGCTTCCAGAGGTGTCCTGGCACCTCCACCGACCCCGGCGAGACGTGGTTGTTCTTTCAGTTCATTGAAAGAGGGTTTTTTGTACAGCGGTGTCGTGTCCTTGTGGTTTTGGGGATGTTTGATGCTGGGGCCTGTGGGCTACAAGAGGGAAGGCTGCATGTGGGCTCCAATGTTCCACTGAGCCCAGGGGAGAAGTCAGACAGCGTTGGGAAGGGCAATCTCCCCTGGCAGCATCTCATGCTGCCCTCCCCTGCAGCAGCATGCCTCGTCTCTACCCCATCCTGCCCCGGCCCCTGGAGTCCTGCCCCAGCTTCTCTGCCTTGCAGAGCCCTCTGCAAAATCCATCCCAGCCCCACAGGCTAGAGGTTTGCAAATCAAGTACAGGGAAAGTAAACAGCTTGGGCAATCTCATTACTTCAAGCCATTCTTGCAATGCTGCTCTGCCCATGCTGGCACAGCACTGTAGCTGCTCCTGTTCCTCGGGCTGCCTCTCCCCTGTGAAATGTCACCCAGCCGCACCAGGCTCAAAGGTCACGGACAGGTAGCTTACTACATGGGCAATGAGTTATTTACAAGCTGCTGGGTGTAGAGGGCATCTAGGGCAAGGGGTGAAAGGAATGTACCTTGATAATGGGACAGGGAGCATGTAGTGAGGCCAGGAGCTGCTGCCCACACCAGGGTGCATTTGTGCACTGCTGGGAACCCATTGAGTGGGGATGCACACAGATGGGGGCTGCAAGGGGTGGGAGGGCAAGGGAGTGCAAATGGAGGGGTTTCCTTGCATTCCAAGGAGGAACTTTCCCCCTTCTTTGCACTCACAATAGCAGTTTTCTCCAAAGCAGAAGGAAGTTCCTGCTATCCCACAGGGCATCTTCCTCCAAGTGTGGGGAAAACAAACATTAATCAAAGTGGGAATTTCCCCCATAGAGGAGCAGGGGCTCTCCTGACCTCCCCACAGCCATTTTCACCCAACCAGGGAAGGGCTGTTGATGTGGCAGAGCTGCCCCTTTCCCAATTAGGTGCAGATGGAGCATAAAAGGAAACCAGCATGAAAATGGTAAGAAGTCTTCAATGTCATTTTTTTTCCTTACATGGGGCTGCTAACAGAAAGAAAATTCACTGATAATGACTGCAAAAATGCGTTGTAACTGCTAATGAAAACGTGCAGCTTGATGTAGCCGTAGATACAGAAGTATTTTTTTAAAAATATCACAAGCTAATCAGATTTTATGCAAGGAATCCCATTCAGAGATATGGATTACCTTTATTCCGTAATCAATTTTGTTACTAAAGAACACAAACTTTGACCCATGTCGTACAGTAAATTTGAGCAGAAAGCTCCAGACGTTTCTCAACGTTTTAGATGCAGCTCACACAGAGTTCAGTGCTCACTGTACACGTGTTTGAGGTGTGGGGAGTATTCTTAAGAAATTACTGCTCGGAATCAAAGTTACAAACAGTTATAAAGACACTGGTGTATTAGCCACTGAGTAAGGCAGAAACCTTGTTCATCTTTATAGGCTGTGATCTGCTTTTCACTAATTAGAAAAACAGTGACAAGAGCAGCAGCTTGTTAACACAGGCAGGAGCAGTTCCAAAGGATGTGGAATAGAAGGATGCTCTGAAAGATGACTGAAAATGATGGCAAAAGAACAGCAAGCACTTCAAGTGCTGAATGCAGACAGAAGGCAGAAAACCAATTTTCTTTCTCATTAGTTTGCTATCCGGTTTAATTAGATCACTCCTCACCAAAAGAAATTCTTAACAATACTACACTGTGGTCCTCGACTTCCAGATATTTCGTTTGCTATGTGCCATACTCGGAGTGCAGTGTCTATTAGCAGTGCCTGAACAAATAGACTTCAGCTTCTATGTACAGCCTCTGTTCATTGAACAAGGTAATTTTACTCCGTAAGAGTTATAAATTCCTTTCAAAACCAGAAAACATTTGCAGACTTCGAAGGCTACAACAGACTTTTTGATGAGCACATCCTTGAACTTTCAACAAACTTCTCAACAAAGTATAAAACTACAACGTGAAAAGACTTATGACTACAAAGTGACTTACAGCAGGTCCCTGTTGTCTGCTTATTGCCTTTACAATGTCTGCGGCCACCGAGTTCAGTCGCTGGCAGCGCCATCACCTAGCAGGGGAATTACTGGTGTCTCCCTTCTCTGTATGGTCGGCGCTGGAGGCAGCAGCAGAGGGAGGTCCCTCCTCACTGTGCCTCAGGTTCTCCTCTGCTTCCGGCGCAGTGCTGGCACGCAGCAGGTTGAGGTACAGCAGGTCGTCCTGCAGGCAGACTGGCAAGGGCAAAGCCCGGATAAACCGGTCAGATCGCAGACGTTCAGTCCCCAAGATGGAGCGGATCTCAAGGCGACAAAGGTGAGACAGGGAAGGAATGTCGACTGAAAAATGACAAAAGGCAAACAGGGAACATCATCATACACCACTCGTCTACAGGAACCTGCTTTAGACAGATGCTCCTGGTGTGAAACTCCAGTCTACCAGATACTGAGATAGAATTCTTGCCTGTGAGGGACGCTTTGCTGCTGGAGTCAAAATTTTGGCTACAATATTAACTGCAATCATTTCTGCACCTGCTATACTTATCCTTCTAAACTGAAATTAAGAACTTTACAGGACGCTGTATTTTGTAAGCCTGAAGACCTGGAGGTCCGAACATCACTTCTTGAATCTTTCAGCACAAAACCATCACAATTGTTGGAGTTGGAAGGGACCCTTAAAGGTCACCTAGTCCAACTCCCTGCAGCTGTAGATACAGCTCCATCATGTGCTCAGAGCCCTGCCCAGCCTGACCTTGAGTGTGCAGACAGAAGGGGCACCACCACCTCTCTGTGCAGCCTGTGTCAGTACCTCACTGCCCTTACTGTAAAAAACTTCTTATATCCAGCCTAAATCTCCCCTCTTTGGGGAGAGATGGTTAGCAACCATTTCCCCTTGCCCTAACACAATGGTTCCTGCTGAAAAGTCTGTCCCCTTCCTTCTTACAGCCCCTTCAGTTATGGAAAGGCCACTCTCAGGTCTCCCAGAGCCTCCCCTTTTCCAGGCTGCACAGCCCAGCTCTCAGCCTGTCCTCACAGGGAGGTGTTCCATCCCTGGGTTCATTTTTGCAGCCCTCCTCTGCACACTCTCCAGCAGCTCCATGTCTCTCCTGTACTGAGCACTTCCCATCTGGTCGCAGTGCTCCAGGTGAGGTCTCACAGCACAGAGCAGAGGCGCAGATCCCCTCCCTCTCCCTGCTGGCCACGCTGCTTTGGATGCTGCCCAGGATGTGGTTGGTTCTCTGGGCTGTGAGGGCGCAGTGCTGGCTCATGTCCAGCTGCCATCCATCAGTACCCCAGGTCCTTTTTGGCAGGGCTGTGCTTACATCCTTACATCCTTACATCCTTACATCCCCAGCTTGTAGTGATAGTGGGGGTTGCTGCGACCCAGGGGCAGACCTTGCACTCAGCTTTGTTGAACCTGAAGTGGTTCACCTGGGCCCACTGCTCAGCCTGTCCAGGTCCCTCTGATGGCATCCCATTCCCCATTCCCAGGCTGCGTCCATTACACCACACAGCTCGGTGTCATCTGCAAACTGCTGAGGGTGCACTTATCCCACTACTGACGTCACTGATGAAGATATTAAAGAGCAGTACTGACCCTGAGGGACGCCTCTCATCACTGACCTCCATCTGGTCACTGAGCCATTGGGCACCTCTCTTTGGGTGTGATCTCACAACCAGTTCATCATCCACTGAACAGCCTGCTCATTAAATCCTTATCTTTCCAATTCAGAGAGAAGATGTTATGGGGCACCACAACAAAGGCCTCACTGAAGTCCTGACAGATGGTATCAGTGGCTCTTTCCTTGTTTACTGATGCAGTTATGCACCAAGAAGGCCTGCGGGTTGGTCAGGCAGAACCTACCCTTGGTGAAGCCACGCAGGCTGTCTCATATCCCCTCCTTCTTGCTACGTGCCTTAGCATAGTTTCCAGGAGGATCCTCCCCAGCACAAAGGTGAGGCTGGCATGTCTGTAGGTCACCCATTCTACCCTTCACTGAATTATCTCCATCCTTCATGAATGCCTCATTGTTAATTTCTTGTGTTCACTCTCAGGACTAACTCATCTCAGTTCAAGAACTTCACACTCTCCACAGGGGAAAGCTCCAGCACCACAGCTGGCTTGCCTGCCCTGACTGATCTTGCCTCAAAGAATGGAAAAGCAAAAGCTTTAAAACTTTTCCCCCTTTTTTCTCTGTGTGGTTTGGTTACTATTACTGTTCATAATAACAATAGGTATAAATACATTAATAAATAACACAGTAAATATCTTAAGTGTATTTCATATTAAATATAAGCGCATAAATACTTACATTACAAATGTATTCAACAATCTGAAGGAAAATCTTATTTAGTAACACTAATGTAATTTGGACATTCTCATAATGATGGCAGCCCCTTTTAACATGCTTTAAGATGAGGCACTGAACAAGGACACTGGAGCACAGCTTCTCCATGCACACTGAATGCACGTCTCAGTGCAACCCTGTATGCTGGAGCTGCTGTTCTGCTGGGTGAATGCAGTGAGCACTGGTGTTCCTGGACAGTCTGCTAGTGACTCTGTTTGGCTGTCCACATTTCAGTTATAGCAGTAATAAGAAACTCCTAGCTTTACAGTTATTTAATATGATGATTTAGAGAGTATGTATTTTAATTACTCTCAAATGCCTGCAGAACAAGGCAGACACATCATGGGAAACACAAATTAAATTAAAAAACAAACCCAGTGGGATACTGTCTAGAAAATGTAACCAAGTAACGCTGATTACCTTCCCTTCAGTCTTCCAAGAGGCTAACCACATCATTTGAGGGATGTGGTTACAACTCACAGTCACTGCCTGTATTTCATAGCGTGCACATCAATATGAAGTGGAAAAGATAACCTAGACTGAGAACACCTACCTGAAATATGTGAACTGAACAGCATAATGAGTAACATCCATACAAACGTGGCTTGTTTGTTTGCTTAGGGTAACTTGCTTCTGCTGCCCAGCTTCTGGACAGGCAGTTTTTATTG